AGAGAGAGAGAGAGAGAGAGAGAGAGAGAGAGAGAGAGAGAGAGGCAGAGACAGACCCTCACTACTTCCATAGTTGTTGTCATCGGGCGCCTACCGAAGATTGACTATATGTACGTGACAACATACATTGATATTTATTATTGTACATCTGCGTTTTCCCCGTACATGACTCGATATAACAGTGGACAACACAACTTAACAAATACAAAGCAGACCATTTTTTCCAAACGCATCCGTCGGAATGAGGGAGTGAGAGAGATAGAGACGCAGGAAAGAAAGAACCGACAGAGAGAGAGAGGGAGAGAGAGAGAGAGAGAGAGACGCCACAAATAAAGAAAGAAAGAACCGTCCGACAAAACTAAAATGTATGGAGTTCGCTACTGCAGGCCAAAATCACACTTATGTACCTCGTTCAATGGGTTCGTGGCCCGCAGTAATGAACTCTCTAGAGAGAGAGAGAGAGAGAGAGAGAGAGAGAGAGACGCCACAAACAAAGAAAGAAAGAATTGTCCGACAAAACAAAAATGTATGGAGTTCGCTACTGCGGGCCAAAATCACACTTATGTACCTCGTTCAATGGTTTTGTGGCCCGCAGTAGCGAACTCTCTCTTTCTCTCTCTCTCTCTCTCTCTCTCTCTCTCTCTCTCTCTCTCTCTCTCTCTCTCTCTCTCTGATTCTATGTCTCCCATTTGTAAGAAATAGCAAAACAAAAGAAAAGGAAGTAAGAAAAAAAACAAAAAAAGACAGACGTGGCTCCCGACTGACAGACAGAAGGACAAACAGACAGACAGAAGGACAGACACACAGACAGACAGACAGAAGGACAGACAGAAGGACAGACAGACAGACAGAAGGATAGACATATAGAAGGACACACAGACAGACAAACAAAGAAAGACAGAACGACAGACAGATAGACAGAAGGACAGACAGAAGGACGGACAGAAGGACAGACAGAAGGACAGACAGAAGGACAGACAGAAGGACAGATAGATAGACAGTAGGACACACAAACAGACAGAAGGACAGACAGAAGGACAGACAGATAGAAAGACAGACAGAAGGACAGACAGACAAACAAAGAAAGACAGAAGG